ATTATTTGTTTGAATGGACTCATGCTCTTATGCTTTTTTCAAGTGTTTTTACAAGAGGCACTCTCAGTAAAGACATGCGGTCTGGGAAAATAAACACGCGTTATTACGAATGGAAACAAGTCTTTTAAACATGCCATATCAAATTTATTTGCCATATTATACTTGTTTTGCTTTTGTGATGGTGGCTAACTCGAAAACGTTAGTTTCTTTAGCCACCCTACCCAAATACATATCATTTTCTTCTGTTTTCGTATTGTAGATATATATTTCACGTTTTTTCAAGTAGGCATTACTATCACTGTGTGAATAAAATTGAAGTTGAAGATTTTGTACTTATCGCTTAGCAACAGTAACATAGCAACAACGCCTCCGTTTTGAATAATCTTGTTAGTTATTTGTCATTAAGTAAGTGGTTGGTATGACAGTCATTATTACATGGATGCAGATATTTTAGTAGACAAGGATTATTTTCTTACCTATATTCGCACCAGAATATCTCAGACATCATGGTGGATGGAAGTTCATAAAGCCATTTCCAGTAATGTTATTCACGACCCAACCTGTAAATAAGACCATGCATTTATTCTATCATTTACTTTACTTTACTTTACTTTACTTTACTAAGGTAAAATGTCCGACTTCGCATGAGCCAAACCTAATGCATCACAGAAGACCGCCTTGTTATCCATTGTTTCGATTAGGTTCGGGCCATATGTGAAGTTCGGCATTTTACCTGAGCGGTGGTTATAGAGGTGTTCGCCTTTGCTTTCAAAGGACTTTTAAGCTTATAATTTTAGCGAATTAGAGTTTGAGATAAAAACAAATATTGCGGATGTAGCGTGCAAAACATTGAAGGTAATAATTATCGTTGTAGAGGTTTTCCTTTGCTTTTAAAGAACACATAATTTTATTTAACGAATTAGAGTTTGACATATATAGAAAGGATATCGTCATATAACGGTCGCCTTTCAGTTTATTAAAAAAAATATTTTTCGTTTGTCGGGAATTGTAATTTTCCAACTCGTAAGATTTTCCCTTTACAATAGTTTTGAGTAAAAGTTCCGTGTAATTATCCAYATCTGATAAATATTTTTTGCCGCCTTGTCGTAAAACTTCTCGCATCGCTGGCCGGTCACGTTTCTCAGATTAAAATGTGCGCGCAACCCTGATCAAGATCTATATATTTGTTATTTGATTGTTATCGTTATGGTATGAATATGTTTTAATTAATTCGAAAAAAGTAATAATATATATATATATATATATATATATGTATAACGTGAAGCAAATTTTTTTTTTTTGAATTGCAAGGTAATCGTTTTCTATAATTTAAGTATTTCCTTTTTTTTTTGTTGACTCGTTGTAAAACTCCTATTCCAACCTTGTGGCCGGTAATGTGAGCGCGCAACCCTGAGTAAGGTCCATATTCGTTATCTGACTGTTTAGGGTATGAATAGGTTTTAATAGCGTTATATGAAGTCATATAAGGCTCAATGTTTTTTTCATCGAGTTTTAAGTGTAYGTAAGTCGATCATGATACTAGCCTAAGCATACTGCTATTTTCAAGAGTCTCGTATTTTTTTCTCGGGTTTGCGGCAAGGCAATGCAATTTTAGATTTTTGCTGTAATTGTAGTGTTTGTGTCTTGCCTGCCTAAAGAGCAAAAACTGAGACAACGACTAAGAAAGGAAGAAAAAGGAAAAAGAGAAAAAATGAAAGAAATATAGGACTGTTTGAAAGGAAAGAAGAAAGAAAGAATAAGGAAAAATCAGTCAAAGAGTGCGTGCGAGAAAGGAAAAAGAAAAAACGAAAAATAGCGGAGAGAAAGAAAATAGAAACGCCAGCCGTGTGGGGAAGAAAAGAGAAAATGAAAAAGAGACGAAAGAAGGACGAAGGGAAAAAAGAAGGAAAAAGAGTAGAATGACAGATGTCTTCTGGGAAATGGCATAACCATCCTCTGATCGATATATTCATTTAAGACACGCAGTCGATATGAAACATGTTTAAAAAGCCTCCATGCTTTCTGTCAGTGCAATAATTTATGAACACTCTACGAGCTGTATCACTAGATACATTTTAATTGATGTATTTTCCATATACCATTTCGGTCGGCTCGGCTTCTATAATCTATGTTTTGAACCTCACAATGAATTTGCAATTGAGTGTATATTAAACCTGTAACTATAGAAACAATGTTCCTATTTAATGCACTTTATTGCTTAGAGATAAACAAATACACATAAATTATATATTAAAAAGCGTCACTTTTTTCCAGTGAAGAATTCGAAAATAACGAAATTAGTCTTTCTGTCATCTCTAAACAAGAATCATCGATTTTCGTAGAATGTCATATACATCCGTTCATATTTGTACCATTGTTGAATTACATTTTTATCTGTACCACTATACGTAAAATCTTATCATGACGACGGAAGTGACAGATATGGTTATTGATTTAAGTACTACTTGGAGTTTTGATGGCTTACACTAGATTGGCCCTACTGTGTTATCATCATCTAATTGCCCTACGTTAAGGTCAACTTAAGGTTAATGCTAGTAGTTCGCAATAATGAAAAAGAAAGTAATAAAGTACGAAGAATTGAAAAGAAAAAATTAAGAAAAGAAAAATAAATGAA